AATCCATAATTCAACATCACCAACATCCGAATAAAATTTCGCTAAGACTTTAGCTTGCTCAAGTATATCACGACGTTTACGTGCTAATTCAATTAATTCTTCATATGCTTTCTGTAAATTATGTATACGTATTTCAATTTCTTCTGATGTTGCTGGACGATATCCTTCAATATGAGCATCAGGACTAAGATATTCATCAGCATCAGCTATAGCTCGTTGTAAACGTTCATCAATAACAAATACATCAGCTTCAATTAATGAATGTCGTTGAAGAAGATCATCAGCTGACATAATATATCTTTCAATATCATCAGATTTTAATCTCCATTTTAAATCAGTTATCCATTCATAAATATATTGCATTTCCTGAAAAACACGTTGTAAATTATATGCAAGTTCAAGACATTGTCGTCGTTTAGTAACTAAACCAACTAAATATTCCCAATGCATTTCAACATTTTTTTTTCGTGCTTCAATTGTTCCATAATCATGATAATCTTCTGTTCGAAGTTCATTTGCAATTGCCATTATATTTTGTAAACGTTCTTCAAATGCAGCTATATCTGTTTGAATAGCTTCTTGTTTTTTAAATGCCGCTTCAACTGACGCTAAATCTGTACCAAATTGATCGCTGAAGAAGAAAAAAACAAAAAAATTTATTTACATTATTTCAAAAATTCCTCGTTGATATAAAGTATTGTATAGGCATCTGTTACAGATTACTTTAATTTCACAGCGATAAGCAATAATAGCAAATACTTGTTTTTTTCAGGTCAAGTTAAGTGTGCGCCAAATTATGGATGTCTAGATTTTCGCGAAAAACTCTACTTGATTTGGAGCTCACTTAGCTTGACCGGTTTTTTTATAAGCTGTCAATTGAATGGTACACATATAGCAAAAAGTTCAAATACCTTAGTATATAGATGCATTCATATTTGATTTTGACCAATCAATCTTTTCATACTGAAATATTCTTTTAGTTCTCATATTTATTCAAGTCATTGAGACAAGCTCTTCTCAATTATTTGTATGAAAAATAACAAAATCTTTTATATATTTACCTTGCTACTAATTTTTCACTATC